ATTGCGACCACGCGGGAAAATAAAATCCGATGGGAGGCAAAGTTGATCTTTTTGTCGACAACCAGTGGATGTTGCGCATTAATGAGTGGTACCCGTGAGAAAACAAACAACCACACGGTTGTTTATCACTGGGCACTGATAAAAGAATGCAGTTCATGATCGAAGAGCTTGACACAGCTTTGCTCGATGTGGAGGAGTATCCCACTAGCGTCGCTAACTGGTTGCCAGCATGGCTTTTGTGTTCTAGCATGGATTACAACTCACTGAGGCTGTAGAACAGTTCTTCAAATGGCATGTCGCAGAACTTTCATGTGGTCCCGTTTGTACGTAATATCTAATAGCAGTTACTTGAGTTTGTCCTGTAGCGATTTCGAAATTGTTACTTTACAGGAAGCTGATTATCAGGCGTCGTTATTCATCTCAGCACCGTGAGACAATTCGTCCGGGCAGCAAAGTTTATCAGTGTACGACATGCAGGTACAAAACTGCGCACGAAGATCGTTTCCAGGAACATCGCATCGATCATGCTGTGGTTAGTTTCGTTCGATTTTGGATATTAAGTTTGAAATTTTGTTCGGTTCTCTTTTTCACTATCTCACATCTTTATGCCATTAATGCAACTGGCAGTTTTCGTAGCCGAAGCCATCAATACATCACAGAGCAAGCAAATTTAATGGTGTTCCTGGCATTTACTGCTATTTTCTGTCTTTTCTCTGTTCTTAAAGGGAATGCTACATTTATTACATATTCCTACTTTCAACTGTATTTCGTGGCACTAATAACTAAATTTCCTTCTTCGAAGTCATTGTTGACCTGTATTAAAATCGAAAGTTTGCGACATAGCTTCAGAGATTGTTTCATCCCCTTGAATCTTTCAAGCACGCTGTTTTCAAAAAATTTGAAAGATATCCTTTTAACTGTAAAAATTTTGAGAACCACAAAGTCAAAGGATCTACGGGAATGGAAATGAAACTGGGGCAGTAACTGTAGTGTAAAAAGGCACATGCCTTTCTACACTGAAAATATCACAAACATACGTCATAATAATGGAAGACGCGAAATAGCTGTGCTGGAAGCTGTAGTTTAAATCACTGTTTGTCTTGTTTGTTCAGCTTTTCGAATGCCCCCCCCCCCTCCCCGGGATCAGTTTGGTCAGCTTATCAAAAGCTTTATTTTTCCGCCGCGGCTAATTTACCTGAAAAATACAAACTAGGATAAACTGAAATGTAAATGAAAAAACAAGTGTGAAGAAAACGCTAAAAGCAGTCGAAACACGGCAAGCAGTGCTGTGGAGTGGGGAATCGGTTGTACAGTAATCCGTACAAATGTTTGTGTTTGCGCAGCCAGCTTAGAATATTAGTTGTCAAGAGGTGCTCTCCCACTCTGGAAAAGCAAACGCATGCAGAGAAT